TCTTAGTTCCTTCATACTGTTCAGTGATTTCAAGTTATAATGTATTAATCATTACCGAAGGAAGATTTACAGATAACAATTAGGAAGTAATACCGGTGTGCTGGGAAGAGGAACATGAACGGTGAGCGGAGCCACACACACAGGTCAAGGTAAGACAGACATGTATATTTATTTGCTTACGTTTATTTTATCTGTGGATGTTCTCCTTACACACCTCACATGATGTCAATCAGTTTATCTCTTACTTTAATTACATACATGCATTAATGATTGATGTAAACGGCCTAAGTTTTCTACCTTAATAAATAATTTAATATTTTGAAAAGCTATCCTGAGGCCAGCGGTAATACATAGACTTCCTACTTGGTGCCACCTTAGATCCTTACTTTTAATGGCTAATATATAAATAGAACCCAACGAGTAAGAGTTTTTACGGGCTATTCATGCCCGTACCACCTATTGGGTGGCTTAATCTTTATCAATCAGTAAGAGTTTGTTAAATTAGTTTATTTTGGACCCCATCTGTTTGAGAGTTCTAAAGTGATATGCGTTTGCTTGTTCTATCTGGTCTAATCCTGATAAAATAGTTAGTGTCTTGTTAGTCTGCTAGTTACACACCAGTGGGTGTGGCCAGTAACTGTTTGGGTGATAACAAGGATAGCTTCGCTCTTAGCTAGGAAAAAAAAGCTAATAGCGTACAAATCAAAGTACAGTAAATGTTAGTTAGTTTAGTTCATTTATTATGCACCCCATTCCCATCTTGTGGGCGGTAGTGGAAAGGGTTACAGAGGCACATAATGGGCTCAGGGAGGCACTTTAAAACGTAGTTAGATAGTTTTCTGTTTGAACTGCTACCGGCAACAGCGTCCAAAATTATATACGTTTTAGTGGAATGATCATCATCTTCATTCGTTAGGTTTACCTCTCAATTGTTTTTCCTGTGTTAGTTTCAGATTAACCATTGCCTAAATACAACGGGGACTTGATCTAATGGTCTCTGGCAACCCGTCCTCAGACCAGACTCGTTATAGGCGCGACCCGAGACGCAGTCGTCAATTTAACATATAGTGTAATAAAATTTTGTTCTCGTAATTAAATTATTATTATGCACTAAAATTTTATGTATAGATGTCCGTAAGTTAGGCTAGATTGTGTTTAGGTTCTGCTGGCGAATATTTATTTGTAGTATGTGGGTGAAGCATTTCAACCCGTCCTCGAATCACAAGTCCGTTTCAACCAGCGGACTCACAGACGTATTCATAAATGTGCAAATGCTGTTTATTCAAAACGGGACTTTTCTCAAATAGAAATTAATATGATGATATATTAGCATATTCAGGCATAGGTTAGGTTCAGGTGTTTAGGCTCTGTTGGCGATTATTTGTATTTGTAGTACGTGGGTGAAGCATTTACAGCGTTGTGGTTCGAACAAAATTCGTCAGTGAAGCACTTGTTCCGGAAGTATACGAACGTCATCAGTTGAGTCGTGTGTAAATCGTTTTTAATTCATAAACAGGGGGTTTGGCAGGTGCATGGAATCACTTTTGGGTCTTTGTTTGGAGGAAGAGCTGTATTTGTAGCACGAGGGTAAAGTCTTTGCAGAGTTGTGGTTCGAACAAAAGTCGTCAGCGAAGCACTTTTTCGAGAAGTGTTCGAACGTCATGAGGTGCGAGTCGTGTGTAAACCGTTTTTCGTTCATAAACACAGGGTTTGGCAGGTGTATGGAAAGGACTTTGGCCTTTATTTATGACGACGGGCTACCCAGAGTACAGTGGGGTTTGTTCTCGAGTCACTAGAAAATTTTGGGTTCGAATCCCGAACGGGACAGAAATACAGCCCGTTTTTCATTCATAAACCCTGTTTACAAATGAAAAACAGTTTACTCAAGACTCTACCATGTGCATTGAATTCTGTAACTAGATCAGTGAAGACTGTAACTTGGTTAGCTTAATTAATATTGGGGTTTAGTCCCTGCATGGCCTATTATGTGCCTCTGTAACCCTTTCCATTACCGGCTACAGGATGGGTATGGGGTGTATAATAAAGGACTAAACTAATACACGACTCACAACTGATGTTCATTTATTATGCACCCTCTACCCATCTTGTGGGGGGTAAAACATACTCTTTATTGCTTTAGGGCAATAATCCAAGATGGTAATCAACTCCGTCTTTAAGAGCACGTAAAAGCGCCGTGGGAGACTGACTTATTCTGTTATGGAAGCGCCATTTCAAGGGGCTTCTATTACAAATATTAAATCTTTGTATAGACAAATGGAACAAGTAATGAGTAAATGCATGTATGTATGATATTAAAAGTAAGAGACATACATATTTAGTGTTTTAAATTTATTGAATATAAAAAGGTATTACATCGGACTTAACGGAAACCCAATTTTGCTTCACAAGTAAAACATTTAAAAGTTTATCGTTCTATAGAGTCACTAATATCTATTAATATCAATATATAGCTTTTATATTTAAATTATAATATATAAGTTTTAGACATAATTTAAAAATATAATAAATTTAGGTTTAATTGAGTGAAAACTTTCATAAAGTCGTCAAATTTCTTTGCAAACGAAATAAAATTTGTGTACGGTTCCATCTGTGCCGTGTATGTGCGGTTTCTCGGTAGCTCCCTAAGCTTAAATTATATTTACAATTTTGGCAATCTACTTTGTAGATTTATTATGTTAACATGAATAATGAAAAGTATTAAATGCGCATTAGCTTGTAAGTTAATCTAACCGGGTTGAACAGCAATTTTTTTTTATTGATATATACAAGATTCTTTTCTAAAATACAATACAGCTGACTATATCAACAGAGGTTGATCTTAATATCATCATTTATTTATTTATTTTTTTTTTTTTAGATATATACAAGAGTTGTTACATACTCGTACAGCCACTAGTACGCGTAGCGTTTCGGGCAGGTCCCTGGAATACGATCCCCGCCGCGAAGAATCGTTTTTTCATCCAGTACACATTTTACTGTTGCGTTAAACAGAGGCTACAGTTAAGGAATTGCGCCCAGTAAATCCTCCCCGGCCAGGATACGAACCCATGACATAGCGCTCGCATCCTCCCCGGCCAGGATACGAACCCATGACATAGCGCTCGCGGAACGCCAGGCGAGTGTCTTACCACTACACCACGGAGACTACAAAATTGTTTCAAGACGTTGATCAGTTTAGTTCAATTTTGGCTAGTGCCATACTGGCTAAACAGTGGATGGCCATAGATGGGTCTAGTCGACCCTTATGCCCCCATTTTACACGAAATGGCAAAAGATACCAATTTCCAATGACTGTATTGTTGAAAGTTGTGTGTAGTTAAAATATTTGCAGTATTGAACATTGTGTATTAAATGTTTATAGTGATGAGTGTGTATAGTAAAAATGGTTCCAGTGAGGAAGAAAGTGTGTAATAAAAGAGCCTGTCCTCAGAGCAAATCCATTACCTCGAATAATAAATTGCCCCCTGAAACCACCTGTTAGTTAGCTAGATATTTGTGATGGTCTGAAATCATATTACAGTTCAGTAATAGTCTACTGGCAAATGAACTTTTGGGCTAAACAGATAATATTTTTAGGTTATAACTTTTTTGTATTTAAAATAGTAGATTTAAAATATAGTGTATGCTGAATACATTTTCTTCTAAAGTCTGACGAATTTAGTTTTCTGTAAACAAAATTCAAGGGTAAACTTAAATAGTTCTCGAATTCTGTATTTCACATTTTATAATAATAATTTATTGTGTCAGAGGACAGGCAGCCTGAGTGTATTCATACATCCAAGGCGGGACCAAAGAGCCAGACCTCAACCCCCACAAGCACAACTAGGTGAGTACACATTAGGCTTATATCAAGGTCTCCCACCCCCCTCACCAAGGATGCAACCCCACAAGCAGGTAACTTCTGAGTACTGTACCTACATACTTACTGCTAGGTAAACAGATGCATTAGGAAATGCGCCCAACCATTTGTGTCCTACCTGGGATTCGAACCCAGAATTCTCGATTGTGAATGAAGATTGAATCAGACTGTACTACCAGGGCCGAGAGCTAAGGTATCAGACTTCCAAGTCTCTGATACCATCAGAAAAGCTGACCTGCCTTCTTTTCGGAATATTTTACTGGAATATCTGCCTATAGCAGTTTTGGTTAAAAAACCACATCAAGCAAATCTAATGAGTTCAAAGTAAGTTCAGCATATTCTGAAACAATGTGAGGCAGCACTTGACTGCACTGAACACCTCAACTGTGACAGCTGCAAAACGCTCAACTTTATTTCAGTAACTGACCATTTATTAAGGATTTTAAGCCAAACAGCACAATACCTAGCACTCTAAAATTATTATTTTAATTCAGTGATATTTGAAGACATCTTCAGTCTACTCAGTTTGCTAGTACGAGCTGGTCGACTTGACTCGCAAACAATAAATGACTCACCTTCCTTCCTACGATATACAGTAGTAGTATTAGGTCTACAAGCTTCTTGCCTGTACCTGTTAGGCTTATTGAGATCACTCTAGACCTACTGATGCACCAATCAGCAATTGCCTAACTCTAAAACAAACTACTTACTGTGGGTGAACACAAGCATCACATGAGAGGAAACAGGCCTAACAATGCAGTTGTTTTACCAAATCAAAAATGTTCGAGCCTTAGCAACCCATTTAACTTATCGAGGCTGATGCTCGAAAAACATTGATATTACAATGCTTTATTTTTTTACTAAAACCCCACAATTTTCACATTGTAATTTTAGTGGAATCAAGCAATATTTTTGGCAAGAGAACAAGTTGAAGAAATGGTAAAACAAATTGCTCCATTCTACCCAAGATTCCAGCTCTAATGCAAATAACCACACAGGGCACTAATCAAGACAAATGATTAAATCTTTGGGTTTCCACTTCTTCATAAAAATAACCAAACCATATTTATCTTATATAAAAAGATATTTCCAAGTATTTTTGGTTATAAAAATAAATATAAACATGTCATCACTGCGAAATATATTTTATGCATCAATCATAGCTATAAATACCATACAGAGTGAACTTGGTGTATTGATCGATACCTGTTATAGACCATTAAACAATTTACATGTAATTTTCTTTTCTACAGACTCGTCTAATCCTCTGAAATGCTAACTTTAATATGACCCACTCGTCATAGTTTGTTAAAATTCAAATATACATAAACAGATCACATTTACAGTATTATCCAAGCTAACAGAATGTTTATCACCATAATGCTACACTACTGTCCACTGTTTCAAATTGACTAGAATCATTTCAGGTTTGACAAGCTATGCATAATGATAATACTGTCAGTATTTAACATGTAGGATTGAACATTGAAAGTGTCGAAAGATCTTTATGAAAGAACAAAAGAGCACACAGAGGTAACAGTTCACTAAACATCTTCATAATGGTACAAATATTACAGAAACTAACACGATTGTCAAAACAGAAATTAAGAAAGCAGATTTGTAAGAACCAATAACAATGTAGGAGTTACAAATAAGTAAATGTTGTAATTGTAAATATAAATAATGTTGAGATTCTGTCCAAAAACTAAACATTGCTCCAAAATTCTTTAAATATACAGTATATTAATCTCGGACAATCAGCAGCACAGTAGAAAGCTCAACATTTATAAAATATTTTATTCAGCATAATTTTCTTTACTCTGCAGGGGATATTACCAAAAAAAAGTATAAAAAACGTATATACAGCAATTGCAGAAAGTAAGCTCTCAAAAAACTTGCTCAGCCTACGATTTTAATTAATTGAGACTATCCAGAATATTATTTATTCCCAAGAAACATATGGTAAATAGTAATTTTGGTAAATATTTGACAATTTGATGTTTTGACACTATGCAATCAGACATAAGAAAAAGCTCATTTTTAAAATGAGTCACTAAAAACTACAGCCCAAATATTGCATGAAATTTCCGCATTATAAAAAAGTGTTGCAAATTTTGTCTATCTGAAGAGCATTATCAAAATATTGTTCAGTAACAAAGCAACAGAAAATCTATAAACATTCAAAATAAATTTTAAGAGATATTTCCCGTTGATAAATATGTACTGTATCTGTAATGACAACTTATTATTTTACAATGCAAATTTTTAAACTAAGGTTATAATTTGACGCTTTAAACATATCCACGGAAAATCACCCATACCTGATCAACCAGGCTGTGACTCATACGTCAGGCTGCAAGCAGCCACGTCCAACAGCCTGGTTGATCAGTCCAGCAACCAGGAGGCCTAGTTGACGACCGGGCCGCGGGGACGCTAAGCCCCGGAAGCATCTCAAGGTAACCTCAAGGTAAGGACAAGAGCCTTAACATAGTTCAATTTACAATGTGTTGGTTTTACTTAAACTCTACCTGTATTATTCACCAAATAACATTGGATAACACATCTACAGGTGAAGGATACAGTAACACACTATACTATCTTAGTTTTAAAAATGGTGTACAATTCAGTAAAATAAAGTTAAGAATAGACCTAATCTGCAACCATTAACCTAATGATAGCAAGTGATTCAATATAGTTGTACTCTACTGCACAAAATGCAGCAGAGTGATGAAGTGTTAAGAGATATATAAATGAAACAGGCATGCACTTTGCAGATTTACTGACAACTAACCCATATGTTACTAGCAACATTCACAAAGGTTGCAAGCAACTAGTGTCATACTGTAGATGCGAGACTAAGGGCAATGTACGTGAGGCATTTTGGAGACGACTGCAATGACTTAAGGCCAGTAATTGTGAGAAATATGCAATATTTCAATTTAAAATAAATGATAGTACCAATATACAAAAGAGTCTGACAAAATGTGCAAGAAAAGAAAATTACAAGAGGTATTAAAAGTAGTTACTGTACACGACAGAACAGCTTCAGATAGATGCTGTTGTACCATGACATAAAAAAAAAAAAAAAAAAAAAAAAGAGTATGGTTGGTCACTTTTCTTTACATACTGACAGTATGGGGTTAACACCCTCTACCTTTAAGTAACACTTGGGAATTGAATCAAACCTCAGCATTTAAAACAGTACTTACATTTAACTTCAGAAATACTAGAACGCATTTAAATAAACCTACAAAAAAAAAATACCAAACATTTTACCTCAATTGCAAAGTAAACAAAATAATTACTGTATATACATAAATACACAAAAAACTAAATACTGTATACATATATATTACATTACACATGCATGCTTCTATAATCAACCGCCTATTACCCTTCAGTATACTTATATAGTGTACTAATATGTGGCAGGTATTTCAAGTCATCTTTCCAACACCTGACTGGCTTGTGCTGTATTGTACTATAATAACCACATGTTCTTAGCTGTAAACACACTAGCCCAAGTCTATTTACCATTTCATTGAGAGTTTGTAAGGCATTATAAATATTGGGAAAATGATACTGCGATATAGTTTGCAACTTCTCGGCACCCTCACTTTCTTTTCCCTAACAGTGGATACAGCACGAGTGATCCCTGTATCCCATTCACGTTACCGTTTGTTCGTCCAATAAATAAAATTGTACTCTAAGCAGATAGAATGCTCAAACATGTAAAAGAAAAATCTAAATGCAAGAACTTCATTGTCAGTTGTGTACGATTATGGACTTGGACAAGCGTGCCTCTAAGACAATCTTAACATTCATAATAAGAAATCAGATCCATAGACTACTCAAATCTATATGTTAATAAATACTGTATATGAAAACTCATTTTTCATATACATATGCCCATTATAAAAATAAATACATAATCATTCAACATTATAAGTTCCACTGAGAACTTGGAAGAAAACAGGAGTGATATTTTTAGTTAAGGCTTGTAACTAATCTAGTCTGATATGTCAAACAAAATGGCAAATTAACCTTTTTTTTTGTTTTACTGTTATTATGGTACTTTACCAACGTGATTTTTATTTAGATGGGACTACATCCCAAGCTAGGCACATGCACTTCATCTTAAATTTACACGCCTTCTAATTACTGTTCAAATTTATTTTTTAACTACATTAACCCCAACACTATTATAGGCTTAGGAGCAAACTAGTAATTCCAGTTTACCAAGACCAGACCTAATACTGGTTCATTGTGTATAACCAGTTTATGATTTTCTAATTGCAACTAATGGACCCCTGAACTTAATAATCATCTACTGCACTATATAATAATTATCAGATATACTTTGTTTTAAAACCTAGCTTTATCTCACCTTGAAACCTAGCTTTACCTTGCCTTAATTTAAAACCTATCTTTACTTTGCCTTAAAACCTAGTTTTACCTCATCTTAAAAATCTAGCTGTATTTTTAAAATACTGTGTTCATTACACACCAGATCACATTTGTTCTGTCAAGAAAACTATTTTTGAAATCATAAGAAAATATTTGGTTAAAATGCATTCAATTATTGTGGATGCATTATGAGACTTTGAGACAGCCAGGGTATCAGGCTACCCCACACCTATTGCATCGAGTTGTGAAGGTTCATGCAATGTGCTAAGGTGTGTAAACTGCAGTTTTTACTGGTCTTTCTGCCATGACACTTTAAAGTGGTTTGGATACTTGAAATGAGAGAGCTAGTAAAGAAGGCATGTGAAAAAGGCATTGATGGTCATAAGGCCTTAATGGATATGCATAAAGTGAACCGAGGGGAAGGTATGTCGGATACTGAAGCATGTAGAGTGCAGAGATCTTGTGAAGAATGATATTCACGAGGTCATTGGTCTACAATTAAAGAGAAAGTGGTAAAGAATGTTTGAGGAGAAGAGGACAAAAAGGCATAAGGAAATATATTAGAAAATGTAAATGCACATGAGCACTGCACATTGTTGCACTTAAAAAGACAGCTTCCATTCATTCCTGTTAAGAGTGAATTAATTGCATTTTGGTCTAGAAGCAATTCACATAGGATTTTTGGTGCTACTGTACTGGCGTCTTATGGCAATACCGAGTATGGATGGTGGTAATGGTGGTCAAGGGTAACTCGGAATCCAAAACATCATTCAAAACAAAATATAAATACTGTAGTGCTAAAGGTATCTTTCCTGACAAGTAACCTTTTCCCCAAGAAAGTGGGAAAAGAGGTACTGTACTAATGATATGATGTTTATGATTTATATATCCAAATACTGTACTATAGTAGTGACTGGCAGCACCTTTAAGACAATTATTGCAATACAGAACAAAAACGGCTTTCACCGCTAACACAAGAATGGACATCTTAAAACCTTACATTCCTTTAATTAAATTGACTCGCCTCTTCTACAACCCTTATGCAATCATATGACATCTCTCTTAAGTACACCACACTTCCCACTTGCACAAATACAGGCAGTCAACTCCTCAACAGTTGCCTGGACTTCACTGCTATATATATTCCTACCTCACAAGCTTACTGTTATCCTCTCCAGATGGCTAAACTATCCTCTGGATATCTTGCAGTCATGCTTTACCTAGATTTTAAATTTTTTTACTTTTTTTACAGTATTATTGTGGTAGAATCTCGGCCCAAGGATTAGCACTAAATATAAAAGTTTTTAGACACTTATCTCTCGGTTGAAAAAACTTGGCAACTCGCAAGTAAGATCAGTTCCCACAGTCTAGGTTATCTTGATACAGCTAACCAAACCCATACTTCACAAAGTTTGATTACCCAACAGCCCTGTCTAGATATGGGATGAAGTCACACTTCATGGGTTATATATATTCAAATTATTTAAAGCTAATCAACAATAATCAAAATGAGATCACCACTGAGAATGCACAACAAATCAAGGAATGCTTTCTTAGTAATTCACATGCCCTATTTCAGGTTTTCAGAGCAAACCAAACATTGTGGTATTGCATTTTAGGTTACTGTGTACAGAGCTTGTAAATAAACATACAAATTACCAATCACTTTAAATCCTTTTTGCTAACAGAGCAAAGCATCTGCATGTAAATGCTATTGATACCATTAATGTAACTGCTCTGTCCATTAAACAAAAAAAAGTACCACTCTATTTTCCTTGTTAGTAATGCCAGTATGAAATGCTATGGAAGGATTACTGCAGACCATATGTGGGAAGCTACGTACCGAAGTAGGTATAGGTCATGGAGGGAATCACAAAGTTTATATCCAATACACAACACTTTAGTTTCCAATAGGTTATCCTGATCAGTAGCATCTACAGTAACATTTACATCTATTTATAGAATGCAACTTTACTTAACCAGCAAATCTCTATTCATTAATTAAAATGCAACATTCGTGGGCAAATTCTATTGCTTACAATCATTTCACAGCATATAGTTGCTTGGGTACTGGGTTTGTATTACAAAAAACCCACTAAAGCTTATCAATTTCTAGATTATAAAAAGTCTATCACACATGCAGCTCTTCCAAAGCAGGTGGACATCTGGAGAAAAACATATCCCACATGTTTCTCAACATACGGAGATTTTGACAAGACCCTGATTCAGTAATCCAGATCATAGCTTTTTACATCTGATTCTATAAAAATACTGTTACAGGATTAGAAAAATAGACATTGTGAAAAACAGGAAAAGTCAAATACTGTAATACTGTTGAAACATAAAAACTCAAAGAAAAAGTATGTTAATTACTAGTACCTAATCTTCTCATGACATTTTAAAGATTATCACCAAAGAAAGTCTACCATTTTAGCAGCTCTTAATGGAAAGTGCCAAAATTTTACATGATAGGTACAGTAATATCGACATACAGTATATGGCAAGATTTTTTATCTTATTTTTGTGCACAGCCGGTGAGTACATGTGCAATGGTAATTATAAATTAGTAAGATTAAATTAAATGCAATGTCTAGCTTTCTACCCAAATCCTGTTTTCCAATGTTTTACTATTACAAAAGTTTCTAAATATATGTGTACTACAATTTTTGTTAGGCTAAAATCTTTACACAGAGGTAATGTTTGGATTCCAATATCAATTTAGATATTTAACTTAAAGTACTGTATTAGTTTTTAAAACTACTACAAGTCCCACGAGAAAAGATGATGTTTCACCAGCATGTCACGCACCCCTTCACGTAGTGGTCGCTGATCTTGGTTTGGTGGTGGTGGTAGTTCCCAATCTGGGTTTAAAGTAAAGGGAAACTGAGCCAAGACACGAAGCTCACACTTGATCTGTACCCAGCCGGGAGACCTGAGGAAGGACCATGGCTGGTACCAGCGCTCCACCACATCCACACTTGAGCACAGCACCTCCAGCCACAGGTGCAGAACCTGTGGCAAAGCAGCCATGTACAAATATTGATTTTATATAACCTGACCAACTAAAATGAATTGCGTGTTTCAGATCCCTTATATTTAGAAAACAAAAACTGAAAGAACACTTTATACACCAGTATAAAAACACATGTGATGATAAAATCAATCGCAAAAACAAGCACTTCACATATATATGGCACTATTAATTTAAACATTTTAATCTTAAAAAGGATTAAATTCATGTAAAACAACAGGCAAGACGACAATAAAATCATAATTCAAACACATTAATCCTGCGCACCTGCTCATTAAGTCCCAGGCATATTAGGGAACGTAGTTTAACATCCATCTGTGCATGTACAGCATCATGACTCATGTTGATAGCTTGTACACATCTATAGAGCAGCTGTCAAAAGTAAAAACATTTCAAGTAGCTCCTTTTAGACAGGTTTGAAAAAAACAAAATATTATATTGTATTAAAAGGACATTATCTTATCATATCAATTCATCATCATTATTATTTCTTCATTTGCATGGGGTGAAGAAGCTGAAGGCAAAAAGAAACAGGAAAGCAAAATAGGAAAAGGAGGTTATTATGATGACACTTGTGCAGTCACTATTTAAACCTTACTACAGCAATCCCTCCTCTTGACCTGCTGCTCCTTGAACCCTAAAAATGACTAGAAAACTTGCTCTCCAACACTCATTCATTCAATATGATGAACCCAGTTCAGTGTCTCACAAAAATTTTAAAATTTAATGATCTTGGCACTCCAAATCTTTCCATTATTCTTACAATCCCCATGTCACTACAAATGTATCTTAGATATTGTTTATTTTAACTGTTTTGACTGATTATTTTATTCTCATGTCCCACCAGCAACTGTACACCAGGTAGGTACTGTCACTCCGTGCAGCACTCTCGCTGCATCTCTAACTATCTTATCCCTCCTAGCTAAGACTTGGATTGAACCAGCCACTTTCCTTCTCTGATGTATACCCTCAGCTTCATTTTCTAGGTCTTCTCCATGTATCCCTATTTCACATAATGTAGTATATGCATGCACCCCTTTAAGAAATTATGCTGCTGCTGCCTGCCCCCCCCCTCCCCCTTCCCCCCTCTCTCTCTCTCTATCATCTCTCTCTCTCACTATCTTTCATCTCTATCTCTATCTCTCATCTCTCTATCTCACCACCACCACCATTACTTTTTCACATTCACTTTCAGCGGTCTTCTTGTCACATACATCAGCAAAACTTTCAATTACATAAAGCATATTTCAAACTTTCTGCTAGACGAATGGCTTCATCTGAATATACCAAATGTGACATACTACATGTAATTTGTTTAGATGAGGGGAAGAAGCATACTAATCATTTATGCTTTTATTGCATTAGATTGTATATGTATACCTACGTATGTCGGCATATATTTATTAATCTGTACATATATTTAGGTCACCTAACTCAGTTTCAGAATCTTCCCCAACATTTGCATACAAATTATAGTAGTATGAAATGTTTTCAATAATGTATACCTCTTCTGGAGTTAGCACTTTGCCATCTTCATCTAGTCGAAACGTGCGGCAAAGAACCAAACGGGAGTAGACGGAAGAAAAGTCTCTCTCTACTTCTCTTGCGGCTGATTCCTCAATAAACAGCCATGGATGACATGGACCCCCTGTAATATAAAAAATTTACAAATACCAAAATAAGACATAAGTCAGCCAATTATATAAACACAGCATTGAACTGTACCATTGATTATACTGTACCTTTTACACACACATACACACAATTAGTTTTAGCATGCATGAAAAATTTATCAATGATTTAAGAAAATTACTGGTCTTAACAGTAGAGCAACGGTCTCGCTTCATGCAGGCCGACATTCAATCCCTGGCCGTCCAAGTGGTTGGACACCATTCCTTCATCCCATCCCAAATCTTTATCCTGATCACTTCCAAGTACGGTACTGTATATTCGAATTGGCTGGCACTTTCTCCTGATAATTCCTCTCGATAATGAAATAATGAAGATAATAAAGATAATGAGATTTTATCCTGATGCTCTCACTCCATGGCATGAAAATATATAATGCTATTAAGTGATCTGAATGGTAGTAGAAGATGGTTTAAGAACAGTACCTCAAGAGAAATGTTTCTTGTTGAAATGATGCAATTAATGACCTGCAAACATGTTCATACTGCTTATTTTGAGGTTATCTCGAATTGATTTCGGGCCCTTTTAGTGTCCCCGCGGCCCGGTCCTTGACCAGGCCTCCACCCCCCAGGAAGCAGCCCGTGACAGCTGACTAACTCCCAGGTACCTATTTACTGCTAGGTAACAGGGGCATTAGGGTGAAAGAAACTCTGCCCATCGTTTCTCGCCGGTGCCTGGGATCGAACCTGGGACCACAGGATCACGTGTCCAGCATGCTGTCCGCTCGGCCGGCCAGCCCTGGCATATAAATTACTGCTATACAGTAATTTATCAGCTTATAAGTACAGTACATGTGACACCATAAACCTAAGACTGAAGGATATATGTATTAGTTCCTATGGATATATATTCCGACTAATGACCCTGGTGTGTGTTAATACCTTGACAGAAAATTTAAAAAATCATAAAATGAAATTTAACATACTGATACAAGGCAGGTATTTTAGGAGAGTTAGAATTTTTAAGATTTATTGTTTATGGAAATTAAACCTTCCATATTTTGGTGGTGTACATGAAGCTCAGCCTCTCCATCTGTCACTGTGTGCAACAGAGGCACCAAGGATGATATTAAAAGATAAGCCGTACTGTATAATATAAATGAACATGCACAATAGACATAGCTAGATAAATACAGTTAAGACGTAATGACTTTTATGTAATGTCAAAATTATACATAACTTTATAAAAAATGAAATGCCATTCTTCTAAAAAGTTACACCACTTTCATTAGATTCTTAAACCTCAGAACATCAGTCACACTCAAGAGCCAATTGTGATTAAATAAAACTAACCAAGGAGTGAGGTTTGGCGCATTCCATGCTGAAGAATTGCTTTTAACGCTGGACAGAGAGTTCCTCTCACTAGATCCGTCACCAAGGCATTAATAGCATCATCACCGGCACGGCTATACTCTTTACTACGCTCATCCAGAACCTCAACAAACTTAGCCGGGAACCAACCTTGGAAAACAAAATATTTCATTCAGGTTCAAAGCAGCTTACATTATTTAAAGATAAATAGTTTGCCAAGGGAACTTTAAGAATGTAAAAAGTCAGAGACATATATAGAAAATACACCTCGGACATCTGAGCTACAGCCATCAAATATTTTAATTAATATTGTTTAGAAAATAGTTATTATTACAATCCTTAGAATAAAATCTGTCTTTATTAACTCAAACATTTATTCTGAAATGAATGGGATAAAATGAACATTGCAAAATAAATGAAAAGAGCAATAAATAAAATGGGCAAGAAAAATGAATGTAACAGAATGTATTAAAAGATGGAACTAACAACTGAACTCACCAGAACAAGCATATAAATCTTAAGATCAAGTTATATCAAATTTGCGTATGCCACACAAGCCATTCATTACTCCAGCTCAATAAAACATAAGATGTTATGGCATTGAACATCACGATTAGTTATCAGAGTTACTAAATATTGTGTATCACCTCGCAAGCCATTCAGCTCTCCAATCCAACAGTGCTCATCTCGCTGGGACACGATGGTAATGATGTCATTCTTACGAAAACCCAACTCGTCGTCATCGTGCCGTTCAAAATCTGTGAAGATAGGTTAACTAAAGAAACATACAACAAACAGTAACACTCCACATGAGGTGGTGCACAAGATCTTGAGTCTTTGTAGGCACAGATAGGTAAGCACAAATAAAGTTTTAAAGAATGTTATACATTGATATTTCGGTGAAATATCATATGCCTTGACCTTCAGTTTTTCTTTTTAAACATTATGTAATACATTTTCAGAACTACTGTAGTCCACTCAGATGCCCCCTAAGGCATGCTCACTGTATGTACCATTAGGGCAGGATCATGATGGTCAGAGAAGGATGTCATTTTACACCGTCGTTGCAAGGATCCTTTCGTATGTCCCTGATTTTGAAACAAAATTATGTCAATAATAATGACTCTATTCAGGCACCAGCAAACCCCTGTTTGTTGCAGCCAAAGTCCCTTCTGCCTCCAGCATTTTTTCTATGGGGTTGAGGACCACTCTATAATAATACTGGAATAATAATAATTTGTTGTGGATATGTTCATTTGATATATCACATTACAATATTGTGATTTTTGTGTGCACTGAAGTCAGAGGTACAACTATTTGGATGACAGAGCCCGAGTGCATGGGGTAATTGTGTGAAACCCTGGTTAGGCTTCCACTGTGGTAGCCTTGGGATCGTCGTGAGAGCAGTAGCACTCCAGGTTGCAATTCTTTTCCATGCCATGGTACGGTTGACTAGAGCGCGTCTGGGAACATCCAGCGCATAGATTCGAACCCCTCATCAAGACCCTTGAGGATTTGTTCATTTGATATCACGTTATTGTGATTTCTGTGTTTAATAATAATCATAATAATTCATTGTGTGGGGGGAACAGGAAGCCAGAATTTACATCTACCTTTGCATGTGTTCAGTCTGCCTTGCGTGTGCCTCCCTGGCACCAGACATATCTGAACAAATTCCTGCTGTAATGGCACAGAACGTAGCCCCACTCTGAATTCCTGCATCCTCTCCAATACGACATCCAGTGAAATTGCCATAGTGAGCATCATAGTGTCATGGTCAGAAAATTGCTTGCATAGTTATTCAAAGCTCGGTTTTGTATTTTCTCAAGCGCAATACAAAAAATTTATTTAGTACTTACCTTTTAAGATTTTAGTTCGTTATAAAAGTTCATAATACAATATTACTCTGTTACTGTACTAAAATGTATGGAAATTTTATGGGTTAGCTCCTTCAAACAGGGTTGTGAGAACTATTTAAATTAAATTTAAATTAAAATGATTTATTGTGAATTGTATTTTATTCAAATAAGTTTATTCATGTATATATACATCACCAATTGACCCTATACAACTGCAGTTAACCGTGCAGAGCTACTCACCAAGCAGTGCCTTTGCTCGTCTGTGTCTTGATCGTGCCGTGGCCAAAAAATTGGGAAGATCATGCGCATGAGAGTCCAAGGAATAGTCCGGGGTGAGTGTGGCAGAGGTAAAGTTTGGCTCGATGCCCTGCAACACAACATATACATTTGTAATGGCAGAATATTTTGTATTATTCAAAAGACTAACAACTTATAAACACTAAACCTACACATTACCTGATTTAAATTAAGAGTGATGACAAAAATAAGAACAAGGTGACTGCAGAGGCTCTATTTGTCGCTAAGTGAGGTAGCTCTTGTTTATACCAAACAACACATATTTATCAACAAGTTGTTGTACAGTATATACAACAAAGAGCATTTCCATAAAATTAGAGATGTGATGAAATTGATTTCTCAATACTGGTATATAAATTGAAAATGGGATGAAGAAAATACTGAATATTGAATATTTGAAGGCTTCCTGATGCCATGTACCCACATGGTTCACCTAGACCTCAGAACCAGACCAGCTCTATTGACCTGCTCCCTCACCATGACAGGGATCTCTGCTAATTTTTCTGCCATAAAATCATGGAAGGAGACATAGGAGTCTCTCTTCACCACAAAGTGACCAACTTGCTATTAAATAAAAGTAATAAAATCAAAACAATGTCTAACAGCAAGCTAGCTGCTTAGTGACGAACAGAGACTTGGTCCACAATTTATGTGATGGCAGCATTAGCAAATGGCCTTGTTACGTTAAAAGAGCAAGCCAAGAGAGCCTGGCATATTTTGTGGCTTTGGTGGATGATATGAGTACACTGCTCAGTAAGCTATAATGAATTGTTTATACTCTGCTCATAATGAAGATGCCTTCTTGCATCCTTGAAATGCAAGGAAGAAAAAACTAATTTTCCATATTTAATTTCAATAGGTAAATTACTTATTTCAGAATTAAAACAAACTCATTAAATTTTGTGTTCTCATTTTTTCATACCACACACTAACACCAGTATGAACAGTATTAAAGAAGGAACTATAATTACTACCAAAAGCACACACTCCACAACCAACCATATTTTTCAACATCTGTAATACATGTATCCACTATCAGGTATAAATTTATACTGTACAGTAAAGTATATAACTAAAAATCTACAAATTGGTAGTCAATAAAGAGGCTGAAAGCAATATAGCATTATTAAATTTTGACATGTTGCCTATCGGCAAAAATTACCCCAAAAACTGTGGCGCGTACTTGGAAGTGTCTGCCCACTTGAAGTATAGCTTCCCTCAAGTCAACCAACAGCTCTGTCTGCCGAATGTTCTTGTTGCGTAGATCATCTGCATTTTTATGTTCTCCAAACAATATTATCTCCAGCATAGATTTACTTTTGCTCACTTGCCGTCTGAAAGGAGGATTCAACAATGAGGAATGTAGTATAGCACTTAAGTGTAATAGTGCTGGTGCCACAATGGCACCAGCACTGCAAGTATCTTTCCAAACACTCCTCCACTGTTATACTGTATAGGATATGAGTAGGCACTGGAAAAAAAGTTCAAGTCAACCTGAATAGCCATCAGAGGCCCATTTGTAGAACTGAAGACCTAATAAAATCCTTTCATGGTGTCACAAGTATCCACCAAGTTAAGTTTCATAACTTCTTATTTGCCACCATGACCATGCCTATCAACCCACTACCAGGTGGGAAGTAAGGAAACTAGCTTGGGAAAGTGCCAAGCCATTATGACTATATAGCACTTGGAAGGGGTCAGGATAAGGATTTGGGATGGGGGGGGGATTGGTACCCAACCACTGGACAGTCGGGGATTGAACACCAACCTGCATGAAGCGAGACCTATCGTCCAGCCCAAGTGGTTGGATGCACTAATTCCTATGCAACTCTTGTAACAATCTCTCTTTCAGTTGATAAAAAAAAGTTGTACACAGTGAAGAATGAGAGATTAGGGTTGGGATCAGGTGCAAAGGTGTGGATCTGAACAGAAAGGTGCTCATCTTGCTGATTTGGAAGCCTTTATGAGCTACTGCATCACATTTGGTTATTTAGTAACCTGTTCTTTGATATAGGCACCTGAAAACTGTTGAAATTATAATAAGATATAATCCTGTGATGCAAAATGATGCTGCGGCAAGAACGGTAAAGAATACGTCCAGAAGAGAGACCACAGAATGAAGGCTACTACTGTCTAAGGAGGTTAAGTGAAAATAAACCTAATGTCACATACAAGCAGCAAAAAAAAGGGAATGTTGGGCAAGCACATTTCAGCTGGTTGTCTCAATCCTCTTCCCCTTCAGAGTCTCCACCTCTCACAACAGACCGCCAGCTCAAACTATCTAAATGGCTCAAGGCTCTCCACCTACTTTCCATGTATGGAGTTAGTAAATACATGAATATTTAGATTTTTTTATAAACCCTACAAGATGTATGGCAATCTCTGAACATTACAAGATGTGCTGTACTAACTAAACTTTACAAGATGCAAGTCCAAGATGTACTGTTTTGTACTCCTAAACCAACTTATTAGAAATCTTGTTTAGTGGAAAGATACTGGGCAATACAAGACTATGCTGCCAATTTACCTATTTAGATGTTGCTTGGGAAGATTGGTCGAGTTGTCTGGGTTAATAAGAGCGCCATGGTCCGCCATGAGGTAGGCCAGGTGTCGCCGGCGATGGGTTTCCACCATTACGTCTGTTAAGCTCCCACACACACTCTCCATTACCTAAATCAGAATCAAGAAACATATACTCTGTCATATATATCACTAAAAACACTTTTTGACCCGACCAGGATTCAAACCCCTAACTTCCAGGATCATACCCAAGCATACAGGTAATCAGTAAAACAGATAAAAAGAATTAACACAACTGGGATTAATTTGACAAATATGCAACAGTTGGCATTCAGTAAGTGCAATGAAAAAAAAAAAAGATACTTATAAACTGTCATCCGTACTTCGACAGTAAGCATTCCTATGACACTAAAACACATCATCCGATTGGTATTAATAAACATTTGTATATTCATTTCTGTTGTGCATAATCAATGAAGAAGGAAGAGAAAAGAAAATCAATTAGAGCAGCAGCAGCTCCAGTACCCTACCTTGAACAAACACTCCACATCATCAACATCACCAGGAATATCCGAGAGTGCGTTGAATATCTGTGCCGAGTTCTCCAAACTACGTAGTTCTGCTTCTGTAAAGATGAGGAAAATAATTAATTTACCTTACCTTTTCCTGCCAAATGCAGTCTATTCTTGTTTTTCAAATTGTCATCTGTACTGTATATATTTCCTACAAAAAGGAATCAAACTAATTTAAATAATAAATAATTTAGACATTATTTAAAGATATAGTACAGTACTCATCTTACCTTTAATCTTGAGCATGGCAAGAGTGACCTGGAATAGGACAATTGATCCATCAAGAAAGAAAAGGTCCCACACTCTCAGGAGAATCTTCATGTGTAGAACCGAGGCAAACACCGTAACGAACCAGTGCAATGTAATGAGCGACAGTTCTATGTCGTGTTCCCTCACAACCGACTCTACCCCGGGCAAATAAGTAGATACCAGTGCAGCCAACACTCGCTGGTCTGCCTGCACACCTGTATATACAAGAGTACAAACTACAGTCTAAAACCACTTGAAGATTAAATGCCACCTCGACACCTATTATCACCGTTTCACCATCTAAAATCTTGAGCAAGTACAAATCTCAAGTAATATTCAATGCATTTAGACAGTTAATATAGCATAATAATAATTTGGTTGGGGAGAGGCAGCATGTGTATGTGTGTATATATACACACACATATAAATATATATATTTATTTACACACACACACACATATATATACAATATATAAATACACACACACACACACACATTATATTATTATTATTATTATACTATATATACAGTACATTATGCTTATATCTAGGTCCCCCCAAGGTCGAACTACTGACCTTCTCCAGGATGTAACCCCCCCAAGAGTTGTCTAACTCCCAGGTACCTATTTATTGCTAGGTGAACATGATCATTGGATGCAAGGAAATGTGCCAAACCATTTATGTTCCACCCGTGATAATACAAATATATCTACAACTTAAGTTTTTATATAAAAATCTCAAGCATGGATCAGCAATTCATTTTATAATTTACTACAAGTAATATGGAGTACTAAGAGCACACCATGTATTAAAATTTAGTTGCTATACATTGTTTAGGCATTATCAGGGTGGATTCAGTGGCCCAAAGTATAGGTCTAGCTACCCTGAAGCCTAGCAACTGGAAAAGATTTTCCAGTGCAGCCCACTACTATTACCACCAATGGGCAGATATGGCTGAATTGACAAGTCATCACCATAGAAAATTTCAGGCGTGTTAAACCAATCGTGATTTATTATGAACAAATAACTTTTGCAAGATAAGCCACAGCTGCCTGTTAATGTCTGTGGCAAGGCATCATTGTACTAAGTGTAAGGGTGAAGTGTCAGATCATTCACAACATATTGTCTGAAAAGTCATTTCATATAGAAAAGCAGACATAAGCAGCGCTAAGTATTTCAATTAGGTTTATGAGTGGTAAGACTTGAAATGAATTAAAATCACACAAAATCATTAAGAGACAAGTACCGTAAAAGCCGGGAGGTTGAGAAGCAAGTGGTTCTTACCCAGCAGTGTAGAGGAGTAGTAAGAGGCAGGGAGGAGATCTTCTACTATTGTGCACATGACCCAAAATGCTTCCTCCTCCTCTAAGAAGAGCAGGAGGGATGCAGCCACCATTCCTGTTCCCTGGCAGTACCTGACATGCACAGTGTTAGTAACTCATGCAACCACTTCAAGGCAATTCTTTGACATACATTTGAGGTTTTATGACTAACAAAATAAGATGTTAGTTTTTAAAGGATTAAAGTGATACTTATGTTGTAACCTTACAGTCTAACCTAAAGAAAAAACACCAGATACATTTTCCAGTCAGTAGCAAAATGTAAATATTACAAGAAACTTTGCATAAAGTGCTCAATATGACACAAAATTGCCATTAATTACTGCCTAATACAGTATTCGTGAACCTCATCACCTTTCATGCAAGGCAACATAGAAAAGTTAAAACACTGCAGCTTCAAGATATATTAGTGTCAGGGATTAGTTTAGGAACAATGAACAATGAAACTTGATTTCTCTAAGACTACACTAACTAAAATTAACCAAGATCCAATACCATCTTTCCTGCTTAACTATTTTAATTCAAAGCACACAAATTAATGGAAACAGACCACAAGTATTAAATAACACACATACATCTGATGTGTTAATATATGAGTAGTACAGTACCGTTATATCTAAACACATGCGTGACTTTTCTACCCATATTTAAAGCAGGACTGGCTTGTGCAGTCTCTTTTTCTAATGACTTACTTGCAACACATCTCCCAAAACCGATTAATAAATTCCCTCTTTTTTTTTTCTAATACTGTTACAATACTAAGAGAAAATACTGAAGTCATACATTAGGATCAAACCTGCATTCCTGAACTCCTCACACACACATTTCAACTGAACCACATCTTGACTGGAAACACCCAACACATAGGTTCGAACCCTCAGCAAGGCTCCTGTTGGATTTGTTCATTGATATATAATGTTAATGTGATTTCTCTGTGTACTGAACCACATGTTACAGAATTTGGTTTCAATCTAACCATACTGCATCAATACTTTCTCATATGTCACATTTTTGTGTTTTCACTGTGCACTATTATTAATACTGCCCCTTTTGATATCCTGCACCCACTGGGAGCTGTTCATACTTGAAGGACCAGCTTATCTTGTCTCACCAAACCATTTATTTTCTACAGGCATTTCAATAAGCACATGGAAGTTCCCTGAAAACCTCCATCATGCTGATTTCATTTCCATTTCCTTGAAGAAATCGTCATTTGCAACTACCCCAGTGAAGCCGTCATCACTGCTCAATTATTTTAAACCTCTTTTTTATATGCAGTATTTCACCCTTATAGTAGTAGGCTTCCATCCATTTCACCCTTATATTCTATTCCTTATTTGTTTAACTTTTCCTTTAATCCCAACTCTGCTGTAAATCAGCCTTTCTTCTAGATACAGTATGCAGTGTGTTGTACTCGATGAAAAAAATCTCCTAATTTTCTCATGGGCTTGTTTCTCAGAACACATTATTATATACTGCAGCTTTCACAAAATTTTCCATCTAAAGATTCTGCATGTGCAGTCCTGATTTAAATTTAAAGAATAATCAACATATGTACAGTACTGTATATACTAATGGTAATACATGTAGAAGAAACTATTGTACAGTAAACTCTTGCTTTGCATAAACTCAGAAAATTTCAAACTCATTTCACACAGCATAGGGATTTGCCACCAAAATGTGAAAAATATAATTCATGGTTTGTTTAGCTCAAGCTGTTAAGGGTGTTTTGTGTGTTTCAAGCACTTTTTGGATTCCATTCTTGCATTGTGGCACCTTCCAAACATTCTGCAATGCCTGCTGCAACATATGTCCATGAAGAAACTAAGTATAAAGTTTTCTTTCATCTTCATTACTGGCGAGTGTGCAAATTTGTTCCATACAGTGTACGTGACCTGGGAAGTGGCAAGTATTGCACTCTCATCTATGCCACTGGTCATGTACAAAAACCACTGTATACAGAACTGTATTTTTGTAACACACAGAAATCACAATAGCGTGATGCATCAAATGAACAAATCCACAAGGGCCACGACGAGGGTTCGAACCTACATCCGAGAGGATCCCAGACGCTGCCTTGGTCGTGGCTACCATGTCGTAGTTCAGTCGATTAAGACAGCGTCTGGGATCCTCTCGGACGTAGGTTCGAACCCTCGTCGTGGCCCTTGTGGATTTGTTCATTGTATTTTTGCAACTAGAATGTAGCAAGAGTATGTACTAAGTAATAATGTTCAGTGCGCTATTGAGAAAGGATTGAAAAAAAGATGACCGAGGACCAATGATCGGCATCTTTTCCAATCTTGACCTCAATTTATGCGAGTTCTCTTTGCGGGATGCATTTTAGGAATGCATCCCTTGTTCATATCAATGGGCTACTGTACATATGCATATGCTCATTGTAATACTGTATAAGCAAAAGAAAATATATGATATAACCTGAATTCAAACTTACCCAATGTCCGGATAGAGCCAGGCAAGTGCACGTAACACTCGTCTGAGACGTGGGATGCCGGTGGAGGTGAGTTGGGAAAAGCAAGCATTTGTTGGCATGGTGCGCAACAGGTCTTTTTCTATCTGTTTGCTTGTCATAAGTGCATCATTGCTGGAAGCCTTCACCACCTCCCTGTATGAGATGTCTGACTGCCGCTGTTTCTGAAGAGCTCCTGCAGGTTAATATATGCATTAGGTAGATTTACAAAATTTTAATAATGAAACAAAATTAATGATTACATCAAATTATCATTTCCCAATTTCACTGCAAGATAGAGGAAGAGTTTTTCAATGAAAAAGACTTTTCTTTCAGTAATCCCAAGGCTTGTCATTTGAAACTGCCTGGTAAAACAATGAGTTGTCACCCAGACTAACTAGCTTCTAATTTGTCACCACAATGTCCATAACTATGTGCAGCAAATCTCCAGTATTGCTAATGGTACCTGACAGTTTATGGAAATATAACATTAAAAAATACTGTACCAGAAAGCCTCATCCATAGCTGTGGGCGAAGGGAATGTGGGACCCCTGCCTTGACCATACCACGCAGTTTGTCTGTCCGAGGTAACCGCACATCCACATGTTCCCAAGTAAGTTCTCCCACTTCATCACTATGACTAAACTCTAGGTAAGCTATCCACTGTAATCTGAAAAATAGTATGTCGGATTCATCATCATCCATCCCATGATTATTGGACTATGGCACAAGAAATATTTTGAACTATATACTTTCATCTTAAAATGTATACAAAAATGGCTTGTGAAAAGTTCCTTTCTGAATACTGTATATTATTCACCTGATATCAGAGGTATAGCTAAGGATCGTGTACAGTCAGCTAGAGTAAAAATACCCCACTGATACTACAAAGGTCAATGCATCCATTTAGAACCACTATTGGTACTTGGGCATCACTGGAGACTTGATCAACTAGATAACAAATATTCATAAAGGTCTGTTCACAAGTCCAGATAATTTAAGGTCGCCTCAGTGGCGTCACACAAGTGTCTGCCAATTGGAAGCTCAAAACTAGCTTAACCAATGAAATCAATCAATTGCCACTCCTCCCTCATACCAAGTGGGAGCACAGTTGCAAGGCAGACCGTGCACAATCCCACCCACCTTACACACAACAGGGCAAGACATAAGACCTCTATGCCAGAGTACAGAAGTCATAAAACAAAAGATGAAAACTTGCAGCTGCTGCAGCACTGTCTCCTTATCAAAACAAATACTGTATAGGCTCAATCCAAGGGTGAGGTAATAAAGCCAACCTCCAAAAAGAGGTGGTTACAAAATTTAGGAATTATATTGCCGCCAAAGATAGTACTTTGAGTGCTGTACAACATGGGTAGGTTCAACCCATGGGCAAATTACAAAAACTATCACACAAGGACAGCAGATTTCCAAATAACATGAAGCCCTTGGTGAAACAGGTCTAAAGACTTCCACCCCAGAGCCTTAAAGAGCACATCTGGTTGTAAGACTTGTGCTCTTGGCATGCCTTAACTTAGCCCTGCCAATCACAAATAAGAACAGAGCCCATATTCAAAAAGAAAAAAGAAAAAACAGTATTACTGCTCATTAAATCAGGAAGAGAGCAGAACGTTGCCTAAATGAGCAATAGTGGTATAAGCTCTGAAAACATTATGGCTTGGCCATAGTTATTTTTCAGCGTCTTCCAATACTGGAAAATATGGTACATGTATTTCAATTGAACAACATGCCACAAGTGGCATTCATGCAGACTGGCTCTCTAGCATTATTGTCATACTGGAAGCTCTCAAGTTTGGATGTTTTGGTAATCAGCAAATTGATTCACAATGTGAGCGTATTCTTACTAAGCGGGGTTTAATAATGCAGGATGCATAAATAAATAAGTATCAGGACATGTTTATTTGTGGATAATTACCATAATACAGTAATGTATGGCATTGTGGGATATATACAGATGTTCTGGAGATTTTCTGGTGACATTTTACCAAAGATGAAGGAAATGGAGGGTGTTAAATTACCAATGTCCGGAGACAAGCAGACAGAGTCTACCCAAACTACTGCTCGCTGTACTTGTCTATTCCTTACCTGTGCTGAGGCTCCTCGACAAAAGGTTGACTGAGGAGTTTCTTACTGTTCTGCTCAGGTCCATCTTCCTCCTCCACACGAAAGCCAAACTCATCAAACCTGTCAACAAGGGTTTTCAATAAAGTACTGTACAATACTCTATACTGCACCATTTATCTTCATTTTTTAAGTCAAAGCCAAGATCAATATGTTTGGTGCTCATATAATAAAGATCCATATTTGCAAGGTCATGTCACCATGACGTGTAACTTAACACTCCTCAACATAGCAGATGGAATGACTTAAATGTTTTTCCATTAATTTCTAAAACCTCAAACTGGTTCTTATTTTTAGCAACTTCTCTAAACATTTGGCAACATATTTAACACTAGCATTACCCAACATATTGCAGATGAGTTTCATATATTTTCTAAAAATTAATCTATGGGTCTCAAAGTATTGATTGTTGGTCATTAATTTGGCAAATTAAATTACCCGTTGTCTATTGTCAACTAACAACACAAGTTAGTAAATTTTTACTAAAGATAATTTTTTTCCAGTTTTGATAGAGTTTTATAGTGATGTGATAGCCCTTGCTAGCTGATTATGACTAGTTCTAAGAAGGTAGCAACTGACCGGTAGTCAGGCTGATGATTCGGGTCATGATGATGGTCTTGCTGCAACAATTTCGCTAGGATGTCCTGTGGCCACATGGAGGGAGTAATAGCCGAGAAGGGGCCTCCGCTACATGGTTCTGTCACACAGCTTCCAATTCTGATACCTGGAGAACAAGAGCAAGTGTAAGAAATGTGCAATATCTCCCAACCTATTAATCACATCAGATAAGTCTTTATAGGAATGTTTGGTTATTATATACAGTATATAGTAGGCATCCATCAGTCATAGGAGACGATGAAGTTGCGCTCTAGTTGTCGGTATATTATATTTATATATATAAAAAATATAGGAGGAGCTGCCAATCACCGGGAAGCGGCCAAGTCACGTAAATACAGAGACCTTGAGCACCACTACAATTTTGTCCCCATTGCCTCAGAGACACTTGGTGCCTGGGGTAAAAGTGCTGCTAGCTTTTTTTAAGGAGTTCGGGTCTAAGCTAATCGAAACAACTAGAGGCCCTAGAGCTGCCAGTTTTCTTTTTCAGCGCCTTAGTGTGGCAATCCAGAGAGGAAATGCTCACTCCATCCATGGTTCCTGCCCGCCATCTGAGGAGCTGGGGGAGCTGTACAACTTGTGACAAGCAGCCTTGCACCCTGCATGTAATCAATATTGTAACTTTTTTTTGTGTAATGACATTTTCAAATAAAGTTAGATAAATATACACACATACCAAAAGAATAGGGGTGGTAGGAGAAGAAAATATCAAAGTGTTCAGTGAGGATCCACAAGGTCTTCTCTGAGTACTCTTTATTTTCTTCTCCGAGGCTATGGGTCCCTACACTTGCACCAGAGGTGGTACCCCTTCTAGGTTTAAAAAAAAAAAAAAAAAATATATATATATATATATATATATATATATATATATATATATATATATATATATATATATATATATATATATATATATATATAAAACAGCCTAACATAAGAGTTAGGCTTATGCAGGTTCCCCTAACTAATGACTTATTATTTGTCAGCAAGTTACCCGACATCAGTTGACCAACTCTCAAGTGTTGTACATATTTACTAATAGGTAAATAGAGGCATCATGTATAAGGAACAAACCCAACATTTCAAATTGTCTGGTGGAGCTGACACCACAAATTAAGCATCTCTACTGACTAACTAGCAGTCAAGAAACTAATGCCATATGAAAAGATGGCTCATCAGACACTTAAAGAAGAATCCTGTTAAACACCCTCTTGCATTCTACATCTTCAATGTACAATATGCAACTTTCTTAAATTTGTTGGTATCATGTTAAAAATGTTAAGATGTCTTGGTCCTTAGATGCTACCATTATGTTCTCTGTGATCAGTAAACCCTTACTTCATTGAGCTTTCCTTGTACCATGTGTGTGGCTTTCACTCCAGCAATTCTATGCAAGGTCACACTTAAGGGTTTAGCACGTCACAGTTTCCAACAGACAATAGGTACATTACTTCTTAAGCATTTCTTAAAGAAATGTTTACCTGTTAAAGCTGTCGGTGGTAACACATAGAAATGGTAGCTTCCAGGTAAATATCCAAGTAAAGTCATTATTGGTGTGCATAAATTATACATTTATGTACCATTTTAAATCCAGATATTCAATTATTATCCATCTGTAAGTTAAGAGATACCTCTCAAACCTACTTTCTACAAAGTATAGTCCAAGTACAGTACATTAATTCAAACAAACCCTTGTACTGTAGTTAAAAGCTTGAGTCTATGAAGAAGAAAAATATAAAAAAAGTGTGCTAACTACCCAACAGCCCACTTCATCAGTACCCCTGAACACCACCAGGTGGCAACACTGATACATCAACAGAGACCAGTGTCCTCACTCTGTCCTGACTGGCCTCAACTGCAAAGTGTGTTTGGATGGATGTAAATTGGATCCACCTCATAAAGGTTAGTGGGCCTTCTGCTGTTTTCATAATTTTTATGTTTTCAGTGGCTAGTGTTCTGAGGAATTTTAAATTCAGTTTGTGCAGTGGACTTATGCAACCCCCCCCCCTCACTTCCGACTCCCACCTGACAACCTCCTCTCCCCCCCTCACCTGGATTCTTCATGACTAGTAACCCTTCACCTACCCGTGCTCAGCCCCTCAGGAGAGTCGGGCAAGAAAACATCATCATTTTCATCGTCATCTGCAGCTGTCTCAATGTGGACGTGGGTGGAGCCGTCTGTGTAGCCATCTGGGGCACGGGTCCCAAAAAGGGAACGTGCTATTTCCATCACACTGTGGCCACTCTTTTCTTTTGTTATGAATCCTTATATACAACACAACAAAATGTGTGTTGCTTTGCCTCTGTAAAATAACAAAACTTAATTAATACCTATGTTTTTAAAATGTATACATGGTAGTGTCACAGTTAACTACAGTAAGGTATGTATAGCTACTCTTATATTGTCTCAGTTTGTCAGTGAATTTAAGGCATTCAACAAGCTTAGGTCTATACAATATCATGATAGATGGGTTAACTGGATAAATTACAGTGGCACCTCGACTTACGATTGCCCCTACTTACGATAATTTCGAGTTATGTAAATTTCATCGAAAAATGCGACTCGACATCCGATGGTGTCGTCGACTTACGATATTTGTTGGTACATGCTCTGGTCGACTGAGCGCGTGGTTCCCGGTCACGCGGCCGACCTGCCTCAGTTTACTACAGCTGCCCGCTTAAGTGACGATCGCGCCTATAAGAAATTTCGCTTTTGTGGTGATTTTTTGCATTTTGAACATTAAAGCAATTATTATATATCACGCCATGAGTCCCAGGAAAGTCAGTAGTAAGGCTCAACATATGAGATCCCATGTAAGGATGACCAAAGAGCAGAAACAAGAGATCATTCGTAAATATGAAGATGGTGTGCGGGTTGTTGGACTGGCTAGGCAGTACAACAAATCTGTCAAAGATACCCATCATACTGGCTAAAAAGGACATTATGGGTAATAAAGTGATGCATCATTACAGACAAATGTTAAAACGAAGGGAAAAACAAATGTCTCGACAAATTTGTAGTGAGACAAACAAGCACTGAACCACAACCAGGTCCTAGTGGTATTCAGGCAAAACGTAGGAGAGATTACACCAGAGAAAACATCACTGCCCGATGTGATAATGGAAGGAGACTCCCCTTCCAAACAGTAACAACTCTCCTCCTCCCCTCTCATCACCATCTTCCATACGCCATCAAGAGCCCTCCATAAAGGTAAGATAAACTTAGGTACTGTATTGTAGTTAGAAAAAAACATTGTATTCAGTATGAAACGTATTTGTACTGTATGTTAATATTTTGGAGGGTGGGGAACGAATTAATTCAAATCCCTTTATTTCTTATGGGAAAAATCGCTTCGACTTACAATCCGTCTCTGGGAACGGATTAGCATCACAAGTCGAGGCCCCATTATATTTACATAACATTCCATTGCAGTGAGACTACCACTTGAACTCTATACAGTAGGTCTTTTTTACCTAGGCTACACTTTCTCACTCAGTTGCTCCCCAAAATATTATTCCTATTCTCTCATTATAAATTGCAACATACAGTTAGTTACTCTTATTTTCCAACCTGTTCTCTCACTTAATGTCACTTTTTTTTTCTAGTGAATCGACCAATCTATTAAAAAAAAAAAAAGTGATGTACTGTATTACATAAAAATGATAGCACCATAATGTCAATGTGTTCTATGCATCAGCCTCAATGGTTTAGGTGGGTTGTTTAGGTTAATATATTTTTGTTTACGCAAAGCAGTCGTTTTTAATAGTTGCAAATCGAGAGGAGGCTGTATTTTTTGGTATCATTGTCACATGGAACTTTTCAAACAGTCCATCTTGCCTAATTTGTCAATCATGTGAAATTTCATTATAGCTTGATATCTTTTTTCAATAAATATACATTATTCAATACTTATTTTGTTATATCTTGTATATAATGTGTACATAATTATTATATAATTGACCAGTGTCATTAGCTGATGCAACAACTAAGACAGGAAATCCATTTCACTTATCTAGGTTTCTAGCCAAGGTTAAGACTGTACACAATCCCCCATACAGCTACTGGGCATACCCCAATGATGCTTAACCAGAGTAAGGAGTCTGCAATCTCCCAGCAACACTTGTATCCACCAAAGCATTAGAATGTGGACGAGTAAGTAATCAAGAGTAACTGGTAAAACATACAAGCTGTGGACTATAAAGCAAGATCTCATTTCGTGTAACCACTGTTAGGTAAGTTAAGGTCCTACTAGTGCAGTCGGGTTTGTTCTCGACTCACAACTGAGAATCCCAGGCAGGACAGGAATGGTTGGGTGAGTTTTCTATTGCCTAATGCCCCTGTTCACCTAGCAGTAAATAGGTACCTAGGAGTGAGTCAACTTCTTGTACTTCACTAATAACATACAATCTACAGTATATTCAACTTCAATGTAAAGTTAACATACACTGTATGTATAAATTAGCTGCCTGTTCCCCAACACAATGAATTAAGCACCTCCACTTTTGTAGGTAAGGAGTATACTCTGCTTAGATAAGATGAGAAATCTTTGCCTAACAGAGGGGGTAGGTACAAGCCCTATCTTCTCTGCTGGGCATCACCACCACCGACAGGCAACCCTAGAGTTCACATATTTAAGGGCCTGAACTGTCACCTGTCTGGCCGCAACAGCTCGTGGTACCTGACCAGCTGGAACAGGTAATAGTACCTGGCCACAGCTGCTAGTCCTTAGCCACCTGTCTGGCCACAGCTGCTAGTCCCTAGCCACCTGTCTGGCCACAGCTGCTAGTCCCTAGCCACCTGTCTGGCCACAGCTGCTAGTCCCTAGCCACCTGTCTGGCCACAGCTGCTAGTCCCTAGCCACCTGTCTGGCCACAGCTGCTAGTCCCTAGCCACCTGTCTGGCCACAGCTGCTAGTCCCTAGCCACCTGTCTGGCCACAGCTGCTAGTCCCTAGCCACCTGTCTGGCCACAGCTGGTAGCGTTTGGCCACAACACTGAGCGGCCGCGTTCACCTGCCCTACACGCCGCCTCTGACGTCACACATTCTGAAAATGAGATCAGAACTTTCCGCCGGTCAAGAAGCCGGCGGCTTGTCCGGCGGTCAAGCTCTACCTTCAAGTACCAAAGGTCCCTCCCCCCCCCCCCATTTGTTCTGATGATTTTTCTCCGGCTGGATTTTAAAACTTAACAGAATTTTGGCATTTACGGCTTTGGCTGGTAGGCGGTTCCATGGGTTTATAACCCTGTGGGTGAAAATGAATCTTACCTAGTTGTGCTTGCCGGGGTTGAGCTTTGGCTCTTTGGTCCCGCCTTTCAACCGTCAATCTACTGGTGTACAGATTCCTGAGCTTCTCGAGCTCTATCATATCAACATTTGAAACTGTGTATAGTGTGACCTGCAGATCAGCTGTGTCGTGCATGTATACAGGTTGGTAAAATATTTACTCTCTCAATTTCTCTTTGTCCTAGCTTTAGCCATATGCAGTTTGCTTATTGTTATAGTGCTTATGCTGTATATATGTATTGTATATTATATGGCTTGTTATTATTGCAAGATGTCACTGTACTGTAATTATTTGATTAATAAAGCCACATTAAGTGTGGCAAAGCGTTTGTTTACGTCACTTTGTATGGAGTCAGCCTCCATCACATCACTTCCTAGTTGTGCTTGTGGGGTTGAGCTTTGGCTCTTTGGTTCCGCCTCTCAATTGTCAATCAACTGGTGTACACATTGAGCCTATTGGGTTTTATCATATCTACATGTGAAACTGTGTATGGAGTCAGCCTCCACCCCATCACTTCCTAATGCATTTCATTTGTTAACTACTCTGACACTGAAAAAGTTCTTTCTAATGTGTCTGTGGCTCATTCGGGTACTAAGTTTCCACCCGTGATAAACAGTTTAATCTTTATCAACCTTTGAGTCTTGTTGAGCTTGAAACCGTTGTTCCTTGTTTGTGTTATACCTGATCGACCTTTTGAAGAAGTTGTTTGGATCAACATCCTCCAAATTGTTCAGTATTTTGAAAGTTTCGATGAGATCAGCCCTATCATGCCTGGCTGTTGTCAGCCCCGTGGTTCTCAACCGTTCCTGGTATGAAAGTTGACTTGGCTCTGGAATGATTTGTGTTGCTCTGTCTTGAACAATAAGAATGCCCCGAGTGCCACCAATCTCCTTCGAAACCACTATAGGGATGGTGGTCCGGACCTCAGGTATATTCAGGTGAATTGGGGAGCCGGTGGCTGAGGGGATAGAACACTGGACGCGTGATCCTGTGGTCCCGGGCGCCGGAGAGAAACAATGGCAATTTCTTTGACCCTGATGTCCCTGTTACCTAGCAGTAAATAGGTACCTGGGAGTTAGTCAGCTGTCACGGGCTGCTTTCTGGGGGGTGGAGGCCTGGTCGAGGACCGGGCCGCGGGGACTCTAAGCCCCAAAATTATCTCAAGATAACCCTTAACAGTGTATTCTTATGTATGAGGAGAGGGTTGTCTTTTTTTTTTATTCTTAAAAATGTTTTGCATTTGTATGTTTGAGTCAGAGGTAGCTAGTTTCTTATTGTATTTAATGTCAGTGTTTGCTCCTTTTAACTTCTGATCGGACGAAGCCTAATAAAGGCAAGATGAGACCTATATCAAATTGGATTTAAAATCCAATAAAAATTTAAATACAAAGATATGCATAACAACTGGATCTTTAATATTACCATTTTGCATCGACAAGTTGTACATAACAATTATGGAAGATATAGATAAAGAAAGTAACCAAACAAACAAGATTGTATACATAGCTCGCATCATACCAAGAAGTTGGCTTTAAATTTTCTTGTTAGGCAAATTTTAGCGATGGTAAGCATGCTGTCTTGAAGGTCAGCGCTGGGAGCTCTCGGCATCACTCATGGCCTGCAGCTGGGGTCCTCGCTGTTTATGGCTCTGCCTCTTGTTGAGTTGCTTTATTGTCTCCTCTTGCGTCTTCTAGCTCTTGCGTCTCGTCTTGCGTCTCTTAATTATTCCCCCCATCCCGTCCCAAATCCTTGTCCTGACCCCTTCCAAGTGCTATTTATCATATCATATATAGCATATCAAATTCAGCACAAGCTGAATTTCCAGGGACACATTCTAAACATATCTAAAAAAGTTTCAAAAACTGTGGGCATTCTTTCTAAGATCAGATATTATGTACCACGCCCTGCCCTGGTGACTCTCTATTACTCCCTTATCTATCCATATCTCAACTATGGTATTTGTGCTTGGGGCTCTACTACCCAAAATCATTTACGTCCTCTAATTACTCAACACAAAGCTGCTATTAGGACAATATCCAATTCTGGCCCCAGACATCACTCGGTACCCCTATTCAAATCCCTGAATATGTTAGACATTAAGTCACTGCACATTCTCTCATGTGTACTATACATATACAAAACGCTAAATTGTAATGCCAATCCTGATCTCAAAAGCTTCATAGAAGGTTGTAACAGAACCCATGAGCATCACACCAGAAATAAATACAGTTTTGATATTCCTAGAGTACGTCTTAATCAAACCAGAAATGCTCTACAAATCAAGGGGCCCAGAATGTGGAATGACCTTCCCGACCATGTTAAAGACTGTACCTCTCTCAACCAGTTTAAGATAAAAACTAAACACTACCTAATAAATTCCCTGTAACCCACCTCACTCCTCTATTGTCAACCCATGTCTGTTATTTTTCTTTTTTTTTTAATCAACACTGTTTGTCAACCTATTGTATTTGTGCTGCTTTTTCAGTCATGTTCCCCCTTTTTTTTATCTTTATTTGTATTTGTTCTCAACATTTTTTATTCTTTATGCTCAATTAGTATTAAGTTCTAGATATTAATGTTTTTCTTGCCCGAAACGCATTGCGAAATAGTGGCTTTAGGCATTGTATGTACTAGCTCTATCTATATATCAATCCATTAATGTAACATCACTTGTATGTATATACCTTACCTGAATAAACATCTGAATCTGAATCTGAATCTGAATCTATATAGTAATGGCCTGGCGCTTTCCCCCTAACAATTCCCTCCCTCCGTGTGTGTGTGTGTGTGTACTCACCTAATTGTACTCACCTAATTGTGCTTGCGGGGGTTGAGCTCTGGCTCTTTGGTCCCGCCTCTCAACCGTCAATCAACTGGTGTACAGATTCCTGAGCCTATTGGGCTCTATCATATCTACATTTGAAACTGTGAATGGAGTCAGCCTCCACCACATCACTTCCTAATGCATTCCATTTGCTAACTACTCTGACACTGAAAAAGTTCTTTCTAACGTCTCTGTGGCTCATTTGGGTACTCAGCTTCCACCTGTGTCCCCTTGTTCGCGTCCCACCAGTGTTGAAAAGTTCGTCCTTGTTTACCCGGTCGATTCCCCTGAGGATTTTGTAGGTTGTGATCATGTCTCCCCTTACTCTTCTGTCTTCCAGTGTCGTGAGGTGCATTTCCCGCAGCCTTTCCTCATAACTCATGCCTCTTAGTTCTGGGACTAGTCTAGTAGCATACCTTTGGACTTTTTCCAGCTTCGTCTTGTGCTTGACAAGGTACGGGCTCCATGCTGGGGCCGCATACTCCAGGATTGGTCTTACATATGTGGTGTACAAGATTCTGAATGATTCCTTACACAGGTTCCTGAACGCCGTTCTGATGTTAGCCAGCCTCGCATATGCCGCAGACGTTATTCTCTTTATGTGGGCTTCAGGAGACAGGTTTGGTGTGATATCAACTCCTAGATCTTTCTCTCTGTCTGTTTCATTAAGTACTTCATCTCCTATTCTGTATCCTGTGCCTGGCCTCCTGTTTCCACTGCCTGTTTCCACTGCCACTGTGTGTGTGTGTGTGTGTGTGTGTGTGTGTGTGTGTGTGTGTGTGTGTGTGTGTGTATGTATGTGTGTGTATGTATGTATGTATGTATGTATGTATGTATGTATGTGCGCGCGCGGTTTTGGTGGGGGTGGGGGCCAATTATAAATTTTCCCTAACCCCACTGTGTCGTTTATTTTATTTGTTTAGGCCAATAGACTAGACTCGCTTCTCATGTTTTCTTCTGACTCCATATATGGCTGACCATCCTGTAAGATGGTGATATTAGACGAACTAATATGAAGCCTTTGGCGTATGTTCTGAAATCCTTCACATAGAAAAGGGAAGTATCATGTTGTTGGGTTAATAACAATATTAACTTATTAAGCTTGTTAATACAATTTATGTACGATGTTAGATATGGATTGTTGCTTGTGTACTCTGACAGCACAGTATTGAGAGGTTCCAACGCCATTGTTAATTAAATGCCCAAATTCTGTTATTTTTAAAATAAAACTGGAAAAGATCATCAGGGCAAATTGGGGACCTCTGACAAGCAATATATATATATATATATATATATATATATATATATATATATATATATATATATATATATATATATATATATATATATATATATATACCAAAAGATAACTAGGAGTGGTTCCGTGTGATGGCGCTGGAGTCATTCATTCATGACAATTGTGGCCGTCCTCGTGACATATATATATCAATGAAGCAGACACAGTGGCAGGGGGAGGTAGTGAGTCATGGAGGATATGACAGAGTCCTTGTACAGTATTATGTCTGCTGTCATATGCCACCCTCCACGCCTCATTCATACATGCATCTCATTCATGCACTCTTTAATCCATTACATTATGTAGTTGTATTTTTGTTGTAAACAATACAAGGATGTATATATTTATTTGCATTGCAGATGAATTGCGACTTTGTTGCAAAATAAACCAATCAACTCTACCTCTCCCAACCATGATCAAATGTCAACAGTGACCAGAAATGCTTGAACAGACAAACATTCATGATTAACACTTGAGCCAATGCTGATGTTTCAATATCACCACACACACACACACACACACACACACACACACACACACACACACACACACACACACACACACACCAACGCGTAAAAAGATGATTGCTGTGCAG